TGCGGAAAGGGAGAACAATGGCAGATTTCCACAGCTGGGGAAGAACTCCTTGTGCCCAAATAAGATTGAAGAGGTGTAAGAGGACTACAAGGGCTGACTGATGTAAATGTTGTAACATACGAATGTGAATGTCGTTAGGCCCAGCTGCCGATGATCGGCAAGCTGAGACTGTTGCCTCCAGTTCCTGAAGTGTAAAAGGCACATTATACTGTTCTTCTCTGAGAGAAGAAAAGTCCAAGGGTACTAACTCTCTGGCAGACTTTGAGGAAAGAAACGAGGGGCATAGATGGAGCCCCCGGGAAATACGGATCAGATGAGTGCCAATTTCAACGGCAACGTCAAGAGGGTTTGCTACATCAATACCGGCTACCCGTAGAACAGGAGCCAGGTCAGGAGAGTATTTACCACTCAATTTCCTCATTTTTTTCCAGACTGCACTCATAGAGAAAGCAGAGGTGATGGTGGAAACAATCTCGCCAGCAAGTGCGTTTAGCATCACGAATGACAGTGAGCCCCCACAGGATGGGTATGGGGTGCATAATAAACATATTAAACTAACTGACAGTGAGCGATCGCACGCTTCTGCTTAAAATCAAGAAGTCTCTCATTGGTTCTATTGTATCGGTACCTGCCCCATGCAGCGCGTTTCAAACGTACTGCACAAGCACAAGCAGGAGACCACCAAGGCACGCACTTCTGAGAATGCCTGCCTGAGGTTTGCGGTATAGAATGAGAAGCTGTGGTATAAACTGACGTTGAGAAGAGGTGTAGGAGCTCATCAATGGAGGATGAAGAAGGAACCTCATTAAAAGCAGTGAGTTGCGAGTAAAGGTCCCAATTTGCCCGATCAAATTGCCAGCGAGAGCTACGGAAAGGTGGTGAATATGAAGGAGAAGTAAGAATGATTGAAAAATGATCACTGTCATGTAAGTCCGGTAGAACAGACCAGGTGAAGTCTAGTGCAGTGGAGGAAGAGCAGACTGATAGATCGATGCAAGATAGAGTATGAGTACGAGGATCAAAATGGGTGGGAGTACCCATATTTAAAACATAGAGGGGGTGAGAGGCGAGAGGCGAGAAAAGCCTCCAACTGGATGCCACGTGAGTCACAATGAGACCCCCCCCCAGAGGAAATGGTGGGCATTAAAATCACCAAGTAACAGAAGTGGTGGTGGTAAGGATGAAACTAGAAAGGCAAAATCTGGGATAGAAAATGCTCAAGAAGGAGAGAGATATAAAGAACATATTGTAAACCACTTATTCAAGTGGATACGGGCTGCAGTGTAATGCAGTGAGGTATGGACAAATAGTTGACAGTACAGAATATCATTGTGTAGAAGAAGGGCACTTCATTAAAGGTCCCATCTGAGAAAGGATCCGAAGAATACAATAAATTATAGCCTGAGATAGGTTGGAAAACAGCTGAGTGTAATTTTGGTTCTTGTAAGCAAGCACCAACAGGGGAAAACCTGGAAAGCAACATCTGAAGCTCACCCCGATTACCCCTGAGGCCACGGATATTCCACTGTAAATAGGCCATGATTGGCAATGAAGAAAATACCAGGAATCCATAGGGAAGGGCACCTACAGACTAGAGGAGTTAGAAAAGTCAACGTGTGGTGGCACTGGAAGATGTTCAAGCAGCGAAGGAATGAAGCGTTGTGAAGAATGGAGTTGTGAAGATGGAGGAGAGGGAAGAGAAAGAACAGGAGGTGAATCAGTGTCCATTGAAGGTTTAGTCTCTGCAATATATTCTGAAATGGCTTCAAGTGTTTCTGAATTCAGAGATGTATGGGAGACCATATTGGAGGTAGAAGGAGGAGGGTGAGTAAAGATTGGGACAGTAATGGACTGTACCAAAGTAGAGGGGGACGAAAGAGTGTTAGGGGACTGGAGATAAAGTGTGGGGGGGACAGAAGAGGCAGAAAACCTGGGGGGGTGGCAGAAGAGGGAGAAACTTGGGAGGGGACGGGGGTGGAAGGCATAGTACGAGGAGGAGGGTGAGCCTCCACACTTGTAATAGAGCCAGATAGAGGGGAAGAACTAGGCACAGAGACTGGAAAGGTAAAGTGTGGAGGTGGGAAAGAAGGGAGGAAGGGGCAAAGAAGATTTGAGCAATGTGGATTTTTTGGACTTTGAGAAGTAGAGGGGCGATTGGTATAAGGTATCGTACGAGGTCTTGTCGATACTGGGGCTTGTGAGGAAGGTCGCAAAGATGTGAGAACAGACTGAGTTGTAGTCGGGATGTCAAAGCCAAGGAAGAAAAAAGGATTAGATGCCCGGAAAAGTGGCTATGGGAGGGGTAACAACAGAGGAGGCTGCAGAAGATGGGACCCCAGAAGTGGGGGGATGTTTTGAAACACGAGAATAAGAAACACAGGGTAGTCTTCCTTGGAGGCAGAGATGAGTAACTGCCATAGCATAAGGGAGACCTTCTGCCTCTTTGAGGCAATGGATTTCACGCTCATTTAAGTAGACCTGGCAACGGCGGGAGTTCGAAGGGTGAGCTTTATTACAATTAAGCAAGATGGAGGTTGACTGCAAGATGTTTAGAATGGTCGTCGGCACCACAGACTGGGCATTCGGGTATAGATCTGCAATATTTCGTGGGTGACCAAAAACGCCAGCAATTTTCACTGTTGCGGTGTAGGGATCACCTTTCGAACTTGTAACCTATGTCCCGTGACATAAACAGAGGACGGGAGTTCTCGGCTGTCGAAAGTTAATCGAGCCACATTGCAAGGGTAACGTCTCCGCCCACGGGCAGGAAGGACATAAGTGTCGACTTTGAGGATTGGGAGATCCTGGAGTTGCAGCCGTTCAAGAATGTCATTGCCACATGACTGGAAATTCTGTTGGACTATGGTATGGGGCAGAATGACAGTACCACTACAAGAATTGAGAGAAAGATGTTTTTCAATAGTGATAGGAGTAGTATCGATATGTGAAAGGAGAGAAAGATCATGAGCTTGGGTAGCATTCTGGACTGTGACAATGCATGTACCACTCTTGAGAGCATGAAATGAAATATCTCTACCAACATGATGCAGGAGCGCTTTGCCAATACTATGGTCAGAAAGATAGGCAGAAGAAGTCGGTCTTAAAGTAAAGAATTTAGTCCATTGTGTGGTCCGAAACTGAGCGTGGAGAGGGAGTGCATGACGTGTCGGTCTTTTCCGACTAGAATGGGAAGGTAACGAAGGAACATCATCAGGAGATTGACGTTGGCGTTTAGGAGTAGGACCGGAGTTGGTCCGTCGTGAAATGGGCAGGTGATTCAAAAATTGCCGTACCGTAGAGGGAGAGGCCGGAAGCATAGTCAAAGGAGAGCGGAGGTCAGACAAATTGAAGGAGTCAGTCGAAGCCCCGGTACCTGAAGTGGGTGAGGAAACAGCACCAGCAAGAGGTACAGGGGCATCAGGAGTGTCTGAAGAGTGGTCTAAAAACAAGGCAGGGTCAGAATGGGGTGTGGTATCAAGAAGGGGCCCGGGGTAGTGGGTTCGTGGATTGGGTTCTCGATGGTTAGGTTACTCCTTTGTTTTTTGTTTTTAAGAAAAAAAAAGAAAGAAGAAAATAAAATAAAAATAAAAAAAATAAAAAAAGGGGGGAGTGGGGAGGAATAGTTCCCAGAAGGAATGAAAGGGCTGGAAATCTCCCTCCGCGCCCAAGAGGACCTCAGCACCGCTAGTAGCGCAGATGCAGCATGGAACCCGTGCCATACCCTACCCTTCATGTCAGTAAACCAGCAATCTGGGATAGCAACCTCACATCTGCCGAGCTACCTCGGTGGACAAAAGAGAGGGCGACCGGATATCCGCCACAAAGCATACCTCCTTTGGCCACCACCCCCTGAATCCGAAAGGTGGCTTCCAGAGATACACCCGTCGCCCGAAAGACACCCAAAGCCACACTCCGGGATACCGGAGAGGGATCGGGACATCCCCAGGCGATCCAGATTCCACGGCAAACTACGCCACCGCCAAGAACCTCAATGGAATGGGATGGACCCCGGTATCCTTTCCCCTACCTAGGAACTAGCGTGCCTGTGGGAGAAATCCCAAAGGCCAAAAAGAGGAAGGGCAAAAGGGAGGGGTGGGGAGGAGGAGGAGGAAAGGAAAAAGGGGAGGATGGGATAGGGAAGGGGGGATTGGGGGGTAATTAGGTTTGGTCTGAGGAAGGAGACCGACAGGTCTAATTCCTCAGACCAAGAGCCTCTTCACCACAACAAGGAGCCCCCCTTGAAGAGGAGGCCAGACTTGAGTCCTGGAGATGGGAAGTACAGTGCTTGCACTCTGAAGGAGGGGTGTTAATGTTGCAGTTTAAAAACTGTAGTGTAAAGCACCCTTCTGGCAAGACAGTGATGGAGTGAATGATGGTGAAAGTTTTTCTTTTTCGGGCCACCCTGCCTTGGTGGGAATCGGCCAGTGTGATAATAATAATAATAATAATAATAATAATAATAATAATAATAAAAACATCTTATGGCCAGGATAGTACCCATATAGTTTAGTTTGTGTAAGTTTATTTAGGTATAGGTACATATAAATACAGTTACACAAATTATTATATATAGTTACATATGCACAAATTACCTAGGATAAACCCAAAAAGTCGGACAAAGTGACTTCCATTAAAGTCCTTGTATTTCTATTGGACAAATTTGTCAATGTAATATATTTTTTCAAAAACATGGAATGCTGGTGAGGAGCTCTTGATCTAGGGAATTGGATCTGTTCTCCAGTTCCCTGAATTAAACCTGAATACCTTCCACATCCCCCCTCAGGCGCTGTATAATCTTACGGGTTTAGCGCTTCCCCTTGATTATAATAATAAAAAACATGGAATCCTTGCAATTTTCATCAAGCTAGAAAAGTCTTCAAACAATATTTTTTTCTTACAGAACTGCAGAAATATATTGAAGACTAATACAACCTCCAAAAAGAAAAAAAGAAATATATATATTTTCAATATTTTCTTAAAGTGTAAAGAGAATGCCGATTTTTTTTTTTTTTTTTGGTTGACGGTGACTGACTCTACACTCCAACAACGACAACAAATTTGGTTCTCCTGGGATGTTGTGATCTGCCTTAGTAATTACATCATAACTACCATAACCAGCTGTTTCTCGTCGAGTAGTTCATCACATAAGGTAAACTAGTAAGATTAATATTGTGGAGAAAAACACTCATTTCAGAACATTTGTTAGAAATAAGTCTCGACTTCTTTTTGGTTGATCATAGGTAATTTACACTTATGTTACTGTGTGTGATAATTTGTGTAACTTTTATATAAATTAGAGTCATTTATAACTAATAGAGCTGTTATATATCTGTGATAAATTTCTTTAATGTTAAGTAGTCAGTAAGCCATTAAATTAAGTCGGCCCAAAATGCCTAAGCATAATAGAGGCTCTTTTTTGCACTGCAACCCATTATTGCAAATACATAACCACAATGTATTACTTGCAAAGAAATAAATAAATTTGAATTGAATGTGTACCTGTACTTAAACTTACTGAAACGTTTCGCTTCAAGAGGCGAGTGATTGAAGACGACACTCATGGTGGAACGTTTCTTCTGATAAATATTCTGAAATGTGTCCTTTTGCACATTTTGTAGGTTTGGCATACCATTTTTCAATTATTATTATTATTATAATCACAGGGAAGCACTTAACCTGTAGGATACCATTTTTCAAGATTAATATTATTATTATATTCCTAGGGAAGCTACCAACTCAGTTGGTAGCTGCCTATTATTATTATAATGAAAAAAGAAGCGCTAAACCTACAAGGGTTATACAGCGCATTAGCCGCCTAACCTCACAATGGAAACAAACCATCTCCTCTGACTCTAATGTTTTTGGGTTATCCTGGATAATTTACACCTATATTGCTAGTTATGATACTTGTACTTATGTGCACCTGTACCTAAATAAACTTACACTGGATTAGGATGCTGTTCAGAGGAACTGGGCTTTGTCTGCCCCCTTCCTTGGATTAAACCTGAATGCCTCCCCTTTCTTAAACACTATGATCCCTTGGTTTTAGCACTTCCACCTGAATAAAGTCGAAAACAAAATAAGGAACTGGCGTTTGATCACCCGTTCTGCGATTTGTTTGCAATCTTAGTATTACAGTTTTACAAGTCACTGGGCATGTTTTTGCTACACCTGTTGCCCTTCTTCACCTGTCTGTAAGTAGGTACATGGGACTTAAACTGCACCTTCTGCCTCTCTTCACCAAGTATCTTATCTCTTAAGTAGATGCATAAGAGTTAGGCAACTGGTGAGTTGCATCTTGGGGAGGATTAAAGGACTCCACTGGAAATAAGAAATAAATCTAAATGACAATGATTTTTTTTTTTTTTTTTTGGGGGGGGGGTCTGGGTTACTAACTCTCAAAGCAGAGTCGGATTAAGATTTTGTATGCTACTGGATTACAGGTACTGTGAGACTCCCAATAATATTTTCAAAAGGAAGAAAAAGTTAAAGAAATATTAAATTCATTTTTACAATTAAAATTCAAACATTTGCTTTGTGTAATTTCTAGGAAACTAATTTCTCCAAAAATCAGTAAATTTTAAGTTGTTCAGAACATCTCTGGAGGCCCTCCGGCTGGCAGAGGTCCCTGGGCTGCAGGTCCTAAAGCCCATCCCATACTCCAGTCCTGCCTCCAGGTTTATAATCGAAACAAATTCTCCGTCAAGCTAAGCAGGTATCTTGTAGCTCCGTCACCTAGTCCCAGGTGACCCTTCAGAAAGGTGCTG